TAATAAAACATTGTAAAAAAACTTTGTAAGTTGTGTAATAAAAATCTGATTATATATAATAACATATTTAAAAATTAATTTATGTATTATATGTAATATATTACATTTTAATAGAAATAATTTTCATATATAAAAGTAATTCACATCAAATCGATGCTAATCATTATCATAAATATTACATAATACAATATTGATTTGAATCGATTCTTTCATAATCAAAGGAGAACACGTTCATCTTTAAGCAAATAATGTGAAAGTCGGTTACTAGATTTCTCAGTGATTACATCTCCCAGTTACAGGGCTTCTCATCACCTAATACGTGACATAATATTTGAAGCTTACGGTCATAGTTCTGTCTCTCTCTCTCTCTCTCTCTCTCTCTCTATTTCTCAAACATAACTGTTGATAATAATGATAATGATGATGATGATGATGCCTCGAAGGCATTGCGTTCATTTCGTGCGTGAAACTCTCGTAATTAACGTGTTTTCCTTATCTATACGCACACGGACACACATATATGTACATACATATATAATCACATTTACAACTTAATCGAACCTAATAAATTTTCTCTATATATTTGTTGTTGTTGTTATAATCAGTCGACAAAGAGAAAAATAGCTTATTCTCTCTCTCTCTCTCTCTCTCTCTCTCTCTCTCTCTCTAACGATTATTTATTCTATTTTTCGTTTCTTTATATTTTTGTATTGCTTTATATAAAAGTACAAAATTAACTTGGTTACGTTTTGAACGATAGCAAATGCATATGAAATATTATTCCATGATTATAAATCATCTTCTTTTCTATCTATCCATGTATATATGATTTATGTATGAATGTATGAACGAAAAGTATTATTGTAACACTATGTGATCGATAAATTTATTCAACTTTGAAAACTCATCGTATTTAAAAGGAAAATATCTTTTTCTTCTTCTTCATCATCATCATCATCATCATTATCAAACTGGTGTCATCGTCTAGATAGATGTAACGCAACGAATAACGGACGAATCATCTTACAGAAAGGTAAGATGTAGGATATACACATACATATGTATATATATGTATATATATATGACGTACAACTGGATCGACATTGCTTTGTGCAACCGTGCGATCAATTGACATCTTCTCTCTGGTGAATCCAATGGTTCAATGAACTTTCCTCGGTAAGGTCAGGGCCGGTCGATATAAACGTGGGCCTTAGAAATTATACGAATAATTTCTTATCTTTCTCGCTATGAGATAATTAAAGATAACGTGGCATTTACCAACTGTGTATATGAATAACAACAGTTAACTAAAAACAGTTGTTGGGAAAATATGTCTAACTAAATAAGTAAGTAAATAAGTAAGTAAGATAACGCATAAATTTCATATCAAATAATTCGTCCAACTAAAAAATATACATTATAAATAATATTAATATTAATA